ATCACCTGAAACACCCTGTTCCCCCTGTCATTCAGCTGAAAATGGACTTCACAGTTGTTTGCAGTGTAGTCACAGCTTACTCATCCTAGCTACTCATCTGTGACCTGCCCACGCAGACACACACACACACACGCAGGGTAGAGGGACTGAGGGAGCAGCAGTGTGTGATAATGAAGCAGCCTGGTATGTCTGCCTGCCTGATTGTCTGTGCATCTAACAACATGTATCACAGTCTCTCTCTCTCTCTCTCTCTCACACACACATACACTTGCACACACTCACCAGAACATCCACTCACAAAGAGAGAATGTGTGTGTGGGGTCTTTGAGAGTGGCAGAGTCATATCTCGCTCAGTTACTCATCTACAACACACACACACACACCTTACTGAGTTATTCATTGCGTTTCTGATGTGTTTTTTTAGCTCCAGGACAATGCCAATGTCTCCATTTCTTTTCTTTCACACTCTCTCTCTCTCTCTCGCGAGTGCGCGTCTATCATTGGTGGTCAACGCTCACTCACAAGTTGTCAAACACAGTTCCATTGCCTCGTAGATCATGCCAGACTGCCACACACTGCATAAATGAGCTACTCAACACCCACTTACCCTTGTGGCTGAGCACAAACATTACACACAAACACACACTCCCTCATATCCACAAACACACACTCCCTCATATCCACAAACACACAGAAATAAGGCTCTTTCTTTATGTATCTGCATCAAATCACATCATGGAACAGATCTGTGTTGTAATAAACTCATATGTTCACGTAAGGACAACTGAGACTCATGGAGCTGATTCTTTTTTGTCACCACTGTAAAGACCAGTTAGAAATTCAGATGTGTGCAGAAGATTTGTCTTTACATTGCATCGCCTCGAGATGCTGTTCACACCTCCAGTGGAGCTCTAGACACTCGGAGAGTCAAGATGCACTGAAGCCGTTCTGGAGTCCCCTGGTGGCACAACGACTTATCAGGGTGTCTCAAAGGGGTTCTGCCTTTATTTGGCCATTCATAAATAAAAAGTGAATGAGAAACAGAAGAAAAAGACTGTCGCTCTTCATCGTTCTGTTTTCTCATTATACGATTCTTTTTTTCTTGCAATCTTGTGTGTGGACAAATTTGCATCTCCACACCAAATGCATACCACTATATATTGTTTGTCTGTTTTGCATGCATGTGTACTGTATGACAATCATGCAATTGTGTGTGCGTGTGTGTGTGTGTGTGCGTGTGTGTGGCTGTCGGGGGAAGCCAAGTGAAGCCTTGCATAACTAGCTTCAAAGCGACAGACACAGCGAAATGCAAGGAGGGAACTGGTTACACAGAGAATAGGGGAAAAAACATGGTGCTTTGCTGGATGATTGGTTGTAATATCATCATTCGTCTTTTTATTTAGTCCTAAAAACTGTAATCTGTGTTTTATTGCCTTTTTTAGCCCTGTTTTGAATCCATCAATCATCGATCCATCTTTACTCTCTGCTCTGAGTTTGTTCTTGTATTTGCCTGTTAATTTTGGGATGTATAGCACATACATGTGTGTGTCTGCGGAGGGGGTTGATGGGAACCGGGGTATATGGTCCTCAAATTGCCCACATTCCTGTTGCCTCTGCTCTTTTTCTGGAAAAAAGGAAGGCTTAAAATGTCTGAAAAAGCAGCTATTTTTCTTCACTCAGCTTGATTTACCCTCCTGGCAAACTTGTTTCAAAAAGAGATGTCAATCAAGAAGAAGTTTTTCTTTCGTTCTCCCTCAGCATGTGGCCAGCCCAGTAATGGTTGCTTGATTTTCAGCTTTCCTCATTTCGCCTTCTCCCTCCCCCCAAAAACACACATGTTTGTTTCATAAGCGAGTTACAATTTAAACTTGTATTTGATTGACTTTGTCCTTTAATTGATTTGAAATGGACTAATCGTCAACATGTCTGGAGTTGTTTCGCTCTTAGTTTAGCTAATTGGGTCATGAGCTGCAAAAATGAGTCTGTTTTTATTGTTTCAGTCAAACCCATGAGACAATAACACTGCATCATCTGCATACAAACGAGAGTTGATAATTGCTACTTACATCTGCCTGTTTATAAAATCTCAACTCAAGGTCTGTCCTTCCTCATGGCTTTCAACTAATCTTAGAGTCTTCCTCAGCAAACAGAAGTCTTCATCTCTGAGTATGTGTGTGTGAAGATTTTTCTTCTTTCTCTCTTTCCGAACGCAACCCTCTCTTCAAGGTCAGGAGTGAACTTTCATTCTCAGTGATCGATCTGATTTTTCAGTGGTAAATCCTGAAAAACACCACAAACCTCAGCTCTCAGGCTGCAGCTGCGAGTGTAACCTCTGCTTTCAGGTTGTAAATACCAAAGAAAATATTGTAAATGTCAGTTTTCATGTTCATGTCTTCAAATATCATGAGAACATCAGCTTTTATCCTGTAAACACAATAAAAAATATCATGAATTTTGGCCTTCGGGTTGTAAATTGATGGAACTCTTAGCTTTTAGAATTAAAAGTAAATCCACCTGCCTTAGCTGTACTTAGTGATTGGTGCTATTTCTTAAACCTCAGCATGCTCATGGTAAGCTAACATGATAAACACCTGCAAAATGCCAGCATGTCAAAAAACATAGCAACATGGCAAATTATGTTTCCTGAGTCGTGGCCACAGTTTCCACCGGGTTGTCAACGAATTTTCAAAGCCGAATCCTTCTCGGTTTTCACCCTATCTACTTTTCATTCATCGGACCTTTACTCTTTTTCCAATACTAACCCTAGACAACAGTCTTTTTTCCCCCTTTGTCAGATTTCTGTGTGAATTATTATTCAAGTAGTTAAGACACCTCTTGAAAACACCAAGTGGTCAAGGTCAAGCTTTTTCAAGAGCTTTCAGTGTGGGTTGAGTTCTCTTAAAGGAGATGTGCTCATATTCAGGTTCATAAATGTAATTTGTGTTGTTACTTGAAAAGGTTTTCATGCTCTTATTTTGACAAAGACCTGAACTCTTTCCTCAAACTGTCCATTGCTGCAGCTCCTCTTTTCAGCCTCTGTCTGTCTCTAAGAGACCCCCCTCCTGATAAATCCTAGTCTGCTCTGACTGGCCAGCTGACTGACTCTGTTGTGATTGGTCAACCGCCTCCAGCGTGTGTAGGAAATGTCGGCCTGGTCTCTGGCTTTTTTTGGCTTCGTCAGCAGGAGTGCCAGACTCGCCGCTATGCGTGAATTATGCAAATGTTGGGTTTTGTGATGTTATGACAATACTCTGGAAGTATCCTCCAGAAACCTGACGAGGCATTTCAGGTCTTCAGGAGTCAGGTCTTTGGGCTTGCTTAACTTTGCACACCTTTTCCACACACAAAAAACTGTATCACATGCAGGAGTAAAAAGAAGAAAAGCATAAGATGTCTCCTTTTAGTTCTATTCTTTTTATTTTTGTGTATTTTGATGTTAATGCACTTTTATTTTGAAATCTCTTTATTGGAGGTCCCTTCAGAGGTTGCATATTCATCTTCCCGTCTTGTTTGTCTGGTTTTCATTGGATAAATGACAAATATTAGTGTGCGTATAGGCTGTGTGCATTCTGTATGTCGCCCTGTTAAAAAAACTTCTATTACCTGCCTTTTGTCAAGTCAGTTTCTAGTCTTATGTTGTGTAAGCTATCCAGTTTCTTTGCCAAAACCTCAAGTGAATTCATCAGATGAAAGCAAAAGCGATGAAAGGTGGAGTACTTTTGTAGCAGTACTGACTTTCTGAAAGCTGAGGTGAAGAGCACTCTCTATTCACGTTCTCCTCTTGAAAGATGAGGTGAACAGTACACACCATTCCATTTTTTTTCTTACAACCAAAACAGTCAACTTATATCTTTTTCTCTGAAAAGTGTGTGTGGGGGGGGGAGGGTGAGAGTGATGAAACAGGACCCGGGTCGAACTGACTCTGCGTTTTCTTTAAATGCCACACTTAAGAAGGATACGGACAAGAAAACAAACTAAATCCAGGATGAATGGAAGGAAAGAAGTTATTCTTCTCTGTTTTCTCAATGTTCACATCTCCCCTCTTTCTCTCTCTCTTCTTCTCTTTCTCTCAGCCAATCTTTTAGTTCACCAAAAACAGCCAGTGGGCAGATGGGGATCAAATTACATTCACCTTTTACCTGCACTCCTCTGCACAATTAGCGCCACGTGTACTCGTCATTTCAAATTGACACACTGCTGTTGTGCAATGTAATTATTTACCCGCCTGGGGAATAGCTCTCTGGTTTAACCACTAAATAATGACACACACACACACACACACTTCACAACAAGAAGCACCTGTGCTCTATTCTATCTGAAACATGTTTAACATGCCTTTTACCCCTACAGGGGTCATTGTCTATTTGCTTACCATTGATTCTCTCTTTAAAAAGGACTAATTGACAAATGCTGCCTGTACGATTTCACTGCCGACCAAATTTTGGGGTTTGAGCATCAGGACCCGAACCTCCCATGCTTCCTATAGGTGTCCTCTGCTTTGCCTGTTCTTCTTCTTTTTTTAAAAATGTGTCTTTTTCCTGCTCGCACGGAGGGAGGAAACTACTGGGTCCTGTTCTCCAAACCGCAGAGGCCTCCCTGCTCATGCCCCTCACTCCCTTCACCTCCCACCACAAAATCTAGACAACAAAACAGGGGTTAACGGAGAGAAAGAGAGAGAGAAAGAGTTAAACATGGCAGCCGTTTTCTTCTGCAGGGGGAAAGAAGGAAATCACGTCCCAAATAAAACCCCAGCTTTCTTTGATCTCGTGTCTTTTCTTGTGATAAATCTGTGTCTGTGATGCCTTTTGTTTTTGTACTCTTTTTAAAGGAAAAAAGAAAGGAAAAAAAACACAATAAGCAAACATGAACTCTTGCTGATTTGTCCTTTTTGCTCTTGCTTCTTTTCTTTTTTTGATATTCTTTTTTTTTCTCGTTTTTGCCAGTAATCTTTTTTGAATTTTGTCTTTTCTCTTTTTCCCCCCTTTTTTTCTTAACCCTAGGTCCGCTCACAAAAAAACACGATGAATCTTCAATGAACAAGCCTCGAGACGAAGGTATTTTTGTTGCATGTTTTTCCTTTTTTCTTGTTTTGAAGTCTTTTTGGGGGATGTGTGCACATACAGTGGAGTGGAAAACACACACACATGCACACACGCACACACACACACACACACAAGTCAAATAGGTGGGACTTTGGATATGAGATGCATAGCGATGTGTTGCTGTAAGTGTATGTGCTGACCGTTGCAATTAAAAAAGCTGCCTTTACTATGCAAAGCCTTATGTAACCTTGGAGAATCACAATACCTGGCTGATGGAACCCAGGTACCCTCCATTAAAAAGCCATCTACAGGCTGCTGTGTGCATTCTCCAGAGGCGCTTATCTCGCTCTGGAATAACAGAGAGCCTTGGACATCATCATCATCGCCACGGTGCCCTTGAAAATACATTGGCCGACGCACAGCATTGTCCTCGAAAACAAAATTGTTGTCAGGATTTTGAGCAACAAAGCAACCATTGAGAGCCGCTCACACAATGAGGCGCATTGTTATTGTGCCTCAATCTCCGGCTCGAGGATGAAATTGGTATCGAGTGAGGACCCACACAAATGTTAAGGTGGCCTCGCTCCAAGTCAGCGGCGATAACATCGACTCAAGTGAGGCAAAAGTAAAAGAAACATTTTCAAATCGGGGGTCGGACATCCGAGGACACTCGTGCCCCTCTCTCACAGACAGTCTGTTAATTTATCTCCTACCTGCAGCACCATAAGCTGCAGAGATGATTTAATCTGCACTTTCATCCCCCAACCCCCCTCACCCGCACCCCCCTCGTCCTTGTTCTTTTGGACTTGTTTCTTGGAGGGAAAAAAGATGACTGATGGTATTTTGATACATATTTCTCTTTATGCTATTTTAAGGGTTGTGCTGGTGAATCTTCTTTTTTTTCCTTCTTCTTCTTCTTCTTCTTCTTCTCTCGCTCCGTGATGCTCTTTGATTTGGGGTACTTTTTTGAAGTTTGTGAGTCGGAGGAAGTTTGACACAAGAGGATTTTCTTGGTGATCAAACGCCATGGCACAGACACCACTTTTTTTTCCTTTTGAGCCGCCGCAGTCGGCGAGCAGTCAAGAGGCCCCACCCCTTGCACCCACACTCCATCTTAAATATATCTTCCATCCCTCATCATGACGTATAATTAACCCCATTTGGAATCGCAAATTCTGCTACAAAATCAGATCTGAATCCATCTCTGTAACTGTACTGTAGTCCCTGGACTAAAACCAATATGGAGACTAAACACCTATTCATGCTTAAAACAATTCTTAAGCTTTGAGATATTGTGCTATTTCATGGGAATTACAATTAAAAGAAGAGAAAATACATAAACTGTGTAAGAATGCAAACTACTGAAAAAATCTGCATTGCATAAGGCGAGTGATGATAAATGCTGTTAGGAATACAACCTGCTCTCAAAAGAAATCAGTTCCATTACAGTCCCATTAGTTGCGAGGCTTGTCAGGGCCGTAGACAAGACTTCAGAGTGCCCCAGTACAGGACAGAAAAAAACATTTTCAATTATCAAGCAACGAAAGGACAAATTCTCTTTGTGAGACCTTCCCCATCCTCCTGGCAACTTTGTAAGAAAAATACAATTTTGTGGTATCACAGCTCCTATTGATGCCTGTCATGGTCCAATATACGATGTGGTCACTTAAAACCTCCAGGGTAGAAACTCTGAGACTTTTCAACGAGGTCAGAAAAATCTTGTGTCGAGTAAAGTTTTAAAATGAGCAATATTTGCACATTCAGATTGCACAGTTTTCAGTGAGAGAAAAGTAGTGGAATTAACAATGTTTATTTGAAATTTAATTGTGGAAAAAACTCAAATAGCAATGAGTAATGTCCCACCCCTTACACGTCAATTCCGCTCACAAACAAACAAACTAACAAAAAAACCATAAACAACATTATTGGCAGAGATAATAAAAATAATTCAACAACATAATCTGTTTACTTGCAGAACTTCCTCTTTTCCAAAGTTTGTTCAGTTGTCATGTGAACTAAGTATGGAAACTCACGTCAAAGCTGACACTGCATGTCATGTCACACCCATTTTACAATATTTAATGGAAATCAGTTGAGTAGTTGTTGTGTAACCCTGCAAACAATCAAACACACGCAGACGGAAGCTTTGAATAAGCACAAATAAGAGTTCCAGTGTGAGATTGCAGACACAGTTACAATCTTCCATTACCCTGGTTTAAACCCTCCTCCGTTAGCTCCTTAATTGTTATTTTCCCAACCAAGAAAATAACAACCTCAACACGCCAGACAGAGAAGAGAAAAACTACATGGCCGGCTTTTTATCTGATAACAGCCACAGCGAGCACAGTCGGTTCGTCCATTTTGTCCTCATTCTTTCAGCCGTGTATCAACAGCCTTTTCAAATTGGCATTGCTTTTAAGCTGTATAATCTAGGCCACGCAGAAACACATTCATAAGCTGTTCTATTCAAGTAAAAAAACAACTACTATGTAACTTATACTCGAGAAGCGCAACGAGCAATTAAGGCGGCATCCCCCGCCCAGCAAGATGCCTTAATTCAGCAGCAGTGGCTCACTCTCTGCTTCGGCATCAGGTGTGACAGAGAGAGCAAGGGTTGGGCTGCAGTGTTGTTCAGCGTCCATGTTTGAGGAGATTGAATGTGCGTGTGGGTGGAGAGGGGAGGGGATTAAAAATCAGAGCGAGATTGAGCTAAATTAAGAAGGAGACGGTGAGCGTGCGTCCCTGTGTCGTCCAGTGTGTCAGCTCTGATCAGAGACAAATCAGAGACACCTGAGCTCCAAAACCTGGAACATATTTCTGCCGGGACACATACACACGTGTCTCCATGATTTCAGAGGACATTACAATGACTTACATTGCTTTCCTGGAGGCTAACTTAACCTTAACCGGACTTACTACTGGCCTAACCCTTACCCTAACCTAAACTTAAATTTAACCCAAACCTAAACCTAATCTTAATCTTAACCGACCCATAAAACACATCTTAAAATTTGATGATTCACGTTATGGAGACTTGCTTTTTGTCCCCATCAGGGAGACAAGTCCCCATAGTGTGACTTTGTAAATAGAAATAGGTCCCCACAACACAAGTAATACCTGGACCACACACACACACAGCGTAATATAAACAGGGCCAAATAATACAACCCCTCTTTAAAGAAAATACTCCATCAAAACCATGACATATTAATAATTAGTAATAGCAGTCTAGTTCACATTACATTGAGCAATGCAAGGGGTAAATAACCATACACATGTTTTTTAAATTTAGATAAAAAAATATATATTTATGACTCCAGTAATATTAGTACTTAAAACTGTAATATAGTACAAGAAACTACACTCTCTGCTGGGTCATTATTTTTTATTTAAACAGTACAATTGAAGGAAAAGGTTAGTATTTGAAAAGTGACAATATGCACTAGTTTATTAAGATTTTGGTGATTTTCCATCTGCGGCCGTCAATTAGGACTCCTGATGATATCAGGTCCAGCTCTTTTGGTCTCCGAAATCAAAAAATTCAAACAATTGGGATCCAAACAGAATGAGGAAACAAAACAAATGCTGCTGTAACCAGTGGAATTGCTACTTTTACTACTGTATAGATTATTACTGTATCCCACAGCTGATTGAAATGTTTATCGACCATTCGAGGCAGAGCGTCGCTCATTGGTCAAACATTAAGCATGTCGATTATGCGACGGATCGAAAGACTCTTTGGCTTCTTCCAATAATGCAGTCAATTTTCTTCATGACTAGCGGTGATAAGAATATGAACCACCCAGCTGGGTATTTAATTACAGTGTAATATTGGGTATCATTAATCAAACAAAGCACACACCGAGGTTTTATAGTGGTGATGTTCCATCCCCAGACTACAGGAATTATAGAATCCCTCATTTATACATTTTTATTTTTACACTGCGTAAAGCTTTCTGCTTACATGGACAGAGATAGAAAGATATAAAATGTATAGATTAAATGGAGCTGTTGATTGGATGAAGTTAATGCATAAATACATGACTGTCACGTAGTGTTTGCCAGTTTATTACTGCAAGCACCTCCTCACGCAGTAATTAGACAGAAATATTTTCTATTTTACGACAGATTGATTGTAATTTCTTATGATGGAGGAAATCACAATTGTTAAACAGTAATGTATATTTGATTCCCATCAAATAACATTACTCTAAGTGTTATTGCGAATCTATGAGACTGCATCGTCTACTAAGGTGCACTTAGATAAAGTGATTTGTTTATTCAGAACGCTGCTCGCTCTGAGTGAAGGCTGCAGTGAAATGAAAACTCCAATATTCTCAGATCAGTTGGATTTTGTTATACAATAACTGTATTTTTAAAAATTAAGTGCACTCCATTATCTAAATTTCTGCAAAAAGGTCACTACCATGGCCCTGGTTCAGGAAGTAAATGTCTCATTTCATTAATGTTATAATAAGATTTTAAGGTTGTCACCAGGTCGACCAGCTACAAGATGAATCAGGAATATAAAACATTTGATTGAGCCATCGCAACTCCTTTCTTGTTAAATGCCCGGTGTATACAGAGTTAATTACCCAGTTGGAAAATGTCCACACCCTGGCATCCCTAGTGTGGATGTGGCCTCGCTCTGTTTTGGTCTCTGGACGCTTCACTATTTTTACCTGCATTGTATTAACTTTGTTCATTGGCCTTTAGGTGCTGCATTGGTACATTACAGTGGATTTATCAAAACCTTATCACTAAAGAAAGTTGGGCTAATTATTATTATTTGACCTCTCTCACATTGCTCATAATTATATGAACTATTGCTGATATATAAAAAAACGGCAGCTTTAAAGGTCTATATTCTCGCACAGTTTGATTTTGAGGGAGATGGTTCATTCTAGGACAGAATAATATGAATAATAATATAAATATTCAATAAGAACGTATCTGCAGCATCCATCGCAACTAACTACTGTGGTGTGTGTAGATGCGGTGATGGACGGAGG